GCCAAACTTAACAGTAAAACCTGGAAGAATTCAGTCATTCTGTATCGCTGAGGCTAAACTATAAAGAAAGAGGGTTGGACGGACTCCTCTTCCTCCCCCCTCTCCTTTTTACTTCTGAAATACGTTGACTTTCAAGAAGTTAAGAACAAGCAACTCTCCCAGAAGAAGCTGCTGCACACTTGCTTCCTGGAAATTAACATGGTGAAAGTACAGATACACATCCAAGCTAACTAGGCTGTAGGTTTCGGGACCGAAAGTAACACAAGTCTAAAACGGACTGCTGTAATTCACGATCATTTTAAAACCAGTTATGCAACTGTGTGTCCAAGAACACCAACACAGCAGGAGGCAAACTCTTAAAACACTCCTGGAGATCCACGACCGAGCTGCACCCAGGCCACAAAATAAACGCGTAACTTTGTGTAACTTCTCTGGCACAGACTGAAAGCAGCACAAGGCTGCAGTCCTGAACTCACACCACAACCTGAAGTGCCTGACAGCAGCTTGATGTATGCTTTACCTCTGATGTGGAGCTGACACAATTCCCTCAGACCGGGAGCAGCAGTAGACCATTGAGCTGTGCTAGCCTGACAGCACCGTTAGGCAGCCATGCCCTACCACCCCAGGGAAGTCCTCAATATTTATCCTGCTTCTTTCTAACAAAACAAATAAACTGAATAGGTAACAAAACAAATAAACTGGATGCATAATAAGCAAATAAACTGGATCCATAACAAAACAAATAAACCGGATACATACTTGCAGCAGATAATTTGTTTGCATACGAAAAAAGCAAGCATCCCAGCAGAAGACACTGCCAAGAGGTACTGAATTACCAATCCATTAGTAATACCTACAATATAGCGCTGTACATACAGGGACATGAACAGGCAACACCAACACTTTGTATCAGACTAATAATCATATGAAAGAAGCATCCAGGTGGCAGGAATTCCAACAGAGCCTGCTTACTCTTAGTTTTCCTCTGCTTAAGATACTGGTCAGATGCTGTTTAGCTTCACTCAGTTTTGGCTCATTCTTCTCTGTCAGTGGAATGGAGTCCTTCAGTTTGGCAAAGTTTTCCTTCAGACATTCTTCCAGCAGAGCCTCTGCAAGTAGCATATTCCCATAGTCCTCTGAAAGCACATACCAACAGACAAGAAACATTGCTTACTGTCACACTGCTGATAAATAGCCTTACAAAAACAAAACAACACACAAATAGTAACTCAAATGAGAGGATAAAGAAGAACTCGCAGAAAAAGTTCCATTAGCTTCTTGCTATTGGAAACAGTACCTTTCTGTGAAAAAATTAAATGGCATTTCCTTTTAACTTAAAAATTTTTCCTAACGAATCCTTTGATCCTCTGACAGCACAGTTAATTTTGGTTATAACAATTAAGAATTTTCATCACAAAACTCACTTTCAAAACTGTAAGGCCACTCTTTGCAAACATTTAAGTGCACGCTCTAGATTTATAAATATACAGGTATGAAACACATGCTTTGGACTACAGATAAGGCATGGATTTCACTGCAGAACACTAACCACAGCAGAAACTTTAAAGATCTTCCTGAAAGTTCACAAAAAGTATAAAAATAGAGAATTTCAACACATTTTACATATCCATGACTAAAGACACACAAAGCTTGATCCAGTGACATAACTAACACACCACGTAAAATACTTTCTACGCTAAAATCCCTTCCTGTTTACTATTCCAGTGTGAAGAGAAACTCAGACTCAGGTAGTAGCAGGATACTGGGCGAAGCATCATGCGATGTTGCAATCATATGCTGGAAAAAGAAGTTTCATCTGCCAGTGCACTTGGAGTTCCTGTATGATGAGTCCAGTTCTGCAGTTCTTTTATTCATAATAGTACCTCAATCAGCTGACGAGTGAGTCAACAAGGGCAAGCAAATCTTCGTAAATCAAAGAGCCAAGCCCTACATTTCATGTATGCTTCACATTTCAAAGTCTAAAACTGCAGAATGCAGGAAACATGACAGTGGATCTATCTATTTCTATATTATCAGTCCATGGGACAACATATTCCCACTTACTACCTACATGTTACATTTGGCATTAAGAATCACCTTGGCGGTGCTTTAGATTTCCTTGCTGAGGCATGTTTAGCTGCGTATCAAGTAAGAACCACAGCTCTTCCTGCCCAATTGCAGCTCTACGACTAACTTGTACAAAGTATAGGTACCTGAAACAGGAAGTGTAAATATCCAAGCATATTTCTCCTCCAACCTCACACGCAATCATTTCTATACAACACTGAAGAGCTTTCAAAGCTTTCAGGTAATCAAAAACTTAAGGACTTACACGAGACCATGTGTAATTGAGAGATAAATATACAGTCTCTCAAAGCAAATCCTACTATTAAAAAAAACCATTAAGACACACCGCTGTGTTTCTAGAAACACAAAACTGCTGCTAGTCCCTTGCTGGAAGGGATGTTCTGTAGGAACAGCAAAGCATTACTCTTTCATAACTAGCATGTTATGATGACATAGCAGCAATTTAACAAACGATGTTTTTACAGCAATCAGAATGTTGTTGTGCACGCTAATTACAAGTGACCAACTAATAGGAACTCTTCAACTATTACTGCCCCCAAACTGCATGATGATCTCTGCACCTGGGAAGCACTGATGAAACCTGACTAAAGTTCAGTTTAGCTGTGTTGTTCTCAGCACAGGGTTTGATCTGTGGCACGTATACACTTGGGAAGCCTCGTAAATAACCGTGTTCTAAGCTAACAACATCTCCCCAAGCTTCAGTTAATGCTAAGGCCACATGCTAGAAACACTCCTCTGAAGAAGTATGTTATTCATAGAAATAGCTCCTCTGACTTCAGCGGCAGAGACTCTTGTACCAATACAATAGTGAGGATCTGGTCCTTTCACAACTTAACTGCTGTTGACTACAGAGTTTTATATTTCTATCAGTTAGAAAGTTAGGCTGCCTTACTTCGTACAACTGGTTTCATTTAAAAGGAAGCAAAGTAATGTGCTGTCACAGGCGAAAAAGATAATAATACATTTATTTATGAAATGTCTTGCATGTGAAAGGATGCTCGGATGAGCCTAAGCCTTTGCATAAATCAGTTTCCTTCAGAAATGGAGGGATATAAAGCAAAGGCACCCAGAGCAGGGTGGGAAAGGGAGCAAGAGGGACTCGGCATCACGCACATCGAGATGGTAAAGAGAAACAAAAAGGATTTCGGTGGGGACCCTGCCCACAGCGCATCCGAGGATGCTAAACCCAAGAGAGCCACCGAGCGCAGCGGCACAGCACCGAGAAAACGCTGCTTCCCTTTTCTCCCCTCCGGCACCCCCAAGCACTGCGCTTCCCCTCGCAGCCCTGCGGGCTCGGAAGCACTGACACGAGGAAACAGCGTTACCCTCCTGAACGCGGCTTCCTGGGCTCCCGCCGCGGGGCCAGGGAGCCTACGGGGGGGACACCGGGCAACACCCCGCAACCCGCGCCAGCACCTCCTTGCCCTCTCCCGCAACCCGGGGACGCGGGGCAGCCGCAGCTCCCGCCCGCATCAGGCACACAGTCACCAGCCACCGCACGCCCGGGGGGTTGCGGTAACAGCAGCCGCTCTGCCCCGCTCCGCCCGGCCCCCGCTTACCGGCGTCCTGCGCGCCCCCCGCCGCCTTGCGCGGAGGCCGAGCCGGCGGCAGCAGCTGCTGTTGGGCCAGGTGCCGGAGCTGCGCCCACTGCCCCTCCGCCCGGCACCGCTCGATCTCCCCCTCCAGCTTCACGTGGGAGTGCAACCCCCTGGCCGCCATCTTAATGCCGCGCCCTCCCCGCCCCGCCCGGCGGCGGCACCGGGGAGGTGCGTGCGGCGGTCCGGGACCGCCTTACCGGGTGCCCGGTGGCTCCTAAACACTCGGGCTGCCCCGGCACGGCGACCTGCTACGGGGGCGACCCCCAGCCGGCTGCCCTCAGGCCTGCGGGGTCCGAGAAGCGCTCGGTGCGGGGGCTCGGTGCGGGAAGGACTTCGGGAGCTGCTCCCCGGTTAAGGCTCTCGGGAGCCGACTGAACGCCAGACCCCCGTCGGTACCGACTTCGAGCCCCCTGCCGTGTGGTGAGAGGGGAAAGCGAACAGAACAGTATGCGAAGAACGGAGGGTAACAGCGGAGCGGCGCACGGGGCTCGGCCGCTCCTTCGGGAAGGGCCGGGCCGGGCCGGGCCTGGCAAGGCAGTGACCACTGCCCGGTGCCCGCCACGGCTCCACGTGGAGCTCCCGGAGCGGTGGGGCCGGTCCCGCCCGGCGGGAGGGGCGCAACCAATGGGCGGGCGGGGCGGGAGCGCGCGCGTGCGTGCGCCGGGTCAGAGGTGAGGCCGGGCATGGTGGCCGGGCTCCTCCGCGCTCCGCTCCGCCGCACCGACACTGCGGGCACCGGCCCCGGCCCCGCCAACCACGGTGCGTACCCTGCCGGCGGGGTACGGGGAGCCTCGGCGGCCGGGGCCGTGTGCGCTGCGGCATGGGGGGGGCGGGAGGTCAGCGCCGCGGTGGCGGCTGTCAGGGGCCTGCGGCACCGCTTCAGCGGGTGTGCCCGGGACAGAGAAGCCGGGCCTGCGATCGCTGCTTGCTCGCCCCGCTGACGTGCTTTAACGAGTCTCTCGCCCGGGAAGCGAGGGCTGCAATGACCTTTCTCAAGCTGTGTGTTGTTTAGTGCAGGCTTAATAGATCCACTAATACGATGCAGCCCCTTTGACGCCGCAAGCGGCCTTTGCTGCCATAGCTGCGGGGCTGGCACGGCTGGCTGTCTGGAAGCTGTATGAAGACGCAGGCATGGTTAAAGATGGGAAAGAAAGTCTTTCTCTGAAAATTACGGCGTACTTCTTAGAAATAGGGACACACGGAGATTCTTATTGAAGCTCTTTGGTTTTCTACTTGCTATTAAGTGCTTGAAATGGAGAAAGTCCTCTAAGTCAGTAAATCTGCTGAAAATAGATTGCATTTTTCACCTGTTTTCTTTGGGGGGGGGTAATGTTTTCCTATTTATAGGAGATCATGATGGCCCAAAGGACTTTTAGAATACCTTTGCTGTTCTCCATTCTGGCTGCATTCGTCATCTCTGCCCTAGCTGAGCAACACGTAGCAGAGAGTCAACATGGAAATATTCGCCTGGATAAGAACTTGGTACAAGATAAAGAGTATGTGTTCTGTGTTCTAAAAATCTAAACTTTGCTTCTTAATGATTTGCTTATCTCTTAAGTCTTGTTATGCAAGTTGGACATAAGCCTAGGGCACCCTTTTCCCCAGGATCTTGTATGACTGGCTAGAGTCAAATGTGAGACACGCTTGTTTGGTAAGTTTGTAGAGATACCAGACTTAGAAAGGTCTCTCTGAACCCTTTAGCCTTAATCATACTATAAAGATTTTTTCACAGGAATCCTGCTTACCTAGATCAACATAATTTGGACAAAAATCACATTCTGAACAGGTAGAGCGAGAGGGGTTTTTTTCATTTACTTCTTCATACAGACAAAGCAGTGGCGGCAGCAGCAAGTCAAAATCCCTGAATACTGTGTGTTTCACTGGGAAAGATCTTCCTCCAGTTCCTGCTCTTTGGAAGGCAGTCAGAGGAGATTCTGGGCACTGCTTCAGTTGTTTTGATAACCTGCTAAGTAGGCCAGAAGAAATAGAAATAGTTATCTAAAGCACTAGAGGCTACTACAGCACCTGTAACAACCAACCTTTGTACCCCCTTCATCATAGTATAAAACAGCAGCGTTTGGTTGTCCTGGTTGTCCATGGTGCTTTTAGAGATACAGTGTTTCCTGTGTAAGTGACTGTCTGATCAAAGACTAAATTTGATGTAAACAGAGCATTAAATATTAACTGATGGCTATGTTATGAGGTTTGTTTGGTTTTCTTCTTAGCCACATCATGGAACATTTGGAAGGTGTTATTGAGAAACCAGAATCTGAGATGTCTCCACAGGAACTGCAGCTTCATTACTTCAAAATGCATGATTATGATGGCAATAATTTGTTAGATGGGTTAGAACTTGCTACTGCTATATCACACGTCCACAAAGAGGTAGGTGAAATTTTGTATTGGCATGTGTATTTGGAAACAGTTCTGACTCTCTGTAAGTGGTTTAAGGTAGAACAGTTACAGCACATCTTCAGTGCAGTTACAGTTTTGCCTGAAAGTTAGGTTATTTCCCCCCCGATAGTATTGTTTTGATTTATGAATGTGCTAGCTTTATCACAGCTTTCATGGCACATGGCAGTTTTCCAGAAGTCTCCATTGTAGTTTAAGCTTTGGAGTGGGGAAGGACTGTAAAGTGAACATGGTTTGTCAGAGGGGATATTTTGGTATGCAGGGATGGCAGGAAAGAAAAAATAATCCAAAATGGGATAATGCTCACAATGGCTTATAGAAATAGCATGTGATATAATGCTGTTTGAGGTTCTAAGGCTGCTGTTCTCAACTCCGAACTGTTACTTCTGAGATTACACAAACCGTAAGTGACCTCTTGCAAAAAATTAGAAGAACCAGACATGGTCAGCCTTAGTTTTAAACATGAATTCTCTTTCCAGCTAGGAACATCTAAGGACAAGGTAGGAAGATACAGTCGTTAGGAAGACATGACTAACCCACCATCTCATACTGACTTTTTGGAAGTTACAATTCAGGCTAACATAGCTTCCTGTTTACACCTGTGGCAAAACCCAAGAACAGAATAATGACTTGCTGTTCCACATGTAAAGGCACATCTTTGTCTTCCCTTCGCTTGCAGGGAATGTTACGAAGAATTTTACTGACTTCGAGCTAGTGTTGGATTTTTTCACTACTCTGTTACTGTCCAGCTCTGCATTTTGCAAGTTCTGTCACACAGGAAGATGTTTCTGTGCTGTATAGAATCTATAGTGTATGTACTACACCAAGAGCCAAAGAAAGAATACATCTCTTAGATTATTATCTGTCATTATACTCTCTGCTATTCAGCTTTCAGAACTTTGGCTAAGCATACTAACTAGGTACAGAGTGCTTGTTCTGAAGCGCAGAGAACTTGGACTTCATAGGCTTGCACCTGGTAAAAGTTGCTTATCCTGGTATAAATGATTACATAAAATGTGATGCTGAATTAGACACCAAACATGAATAGCTTAACAAAAAATTGGTTGTCAGTAACCTGTCACATGTGTCACTAGACGGGAAACACTGTTAAACTGTTCCATGTGGTTTTGGTTTTTGTAGGAAGGTGGTGAGCATACCCAGGCAATGAAAGAAGAGGAGCTGATTAGTCTAATAGATGATGTCTTAAGAGACGATGACAAGAACAACGATGGATACATTGACTATGCAGAATTTGCAAAATCACTGGAGTAGGGTTTTGCAGGTGGCTTGTTTCCCCTTCTGACTACATAGAAATGTGAACCAGTCTAATGTGATTCATACTGTCTCATACCAACCTCTGTGCTGTGAGAAGGAGAGGTGGACCAGTTCCAGATGAATTTATTTGAAAGTTGTGTGTGTTAAGAGACTGGCTAACTCAGAGCAAGAGCCATGTTTGACTTTGAATCTTCATCTCTGATGTTTTGAATTGAAGCATCAACAGTACTCACATAGGGTGCCACTGGCAAACTCTTAAGTAGCTGTGTATGAATACTGAGGAGATCACATACAATCTTAAGTTTATATTTTTGTGTCATTGGGTTATATAGTACTTTCTTGCTTACATCTTCCATTTAAACTTACTAAATGCCCAGTAAGCAAAAGAAGATTATTGCATATAGTTGTATTTCAAGGGCAAATGTTTTTACGTTCCCGCTTGTTTCAAAGGAAGTTTGCCCATAAGTACAGGTGCTTGAAACAGCAATTTTGGAGGAAAAGTGAATGTCATTTCTATTTGAGGTCCACATGATACCTATGGACTTCTAACACAGTCTTTGAAGAAATCCAGTATTTCGAGATATCCGTACTTCCTAGCATACCCTTGTATTTCACATATAAATATATATACACGTGTGTCAATTTTTTCTCATCCTTCACAGATTTACTTTTTATGTCTTAATTTACTGATTTTTTTTTTTTTTTCCCTCTACCTTCCCTGGTATTTGCTTAAGAAAATGAAAGTATTTTTATTACGTTTATATGTTGTATTAATGCTGCATAGCATTTACTAGAGTAGCTTCTGCTGTCTCATTTTGAAGGTCACAGTAACAGTAAATCAGTTTAATACAAGAGTTTCTGTTCAATTTGGTTTTTACAGTATTAGCCAGGAGGATAATCTAGGTGAGAAAGTAATGCTGCCTTGTTAAGGTTTAAGTTCATATTCCTTGACACTTAAATTATGGTATTAATTTCAGGAGGTGTTTCATAACTAAAGAGTTTCAGGGTACTTGAGTGTTTGCAAATTTACATGGTTGTTCTAGGAAAGTTTTTGCTGTCTTGAGTCAATATTCAGTAAATCAAGCAGTGTAAGGATATTGGGGAAGTGATGTATTGCTGTGCTATTGGCATTTGGTGACTATAAAACATAACCAAAATCTTAAATTGCATTCAATCAATCATTATCCATTAATAGAAAATCTAAATGTCAATGTATTTCTGTAATATGTATAAAGAGCTATTTTCTGTACAAAATTATTCTTATACAAGAGAAACACATTTGTAAAAGAAATTATTTCCTCTGTTTAAATGTTTGTGCAATGGCTCTTAAGTGTCAGACTTTTTTCTTGAACTAATTATTTATTTTGATGCCTTTTGGGGGGCATGTACAAGCAGGGTTCATGCACTCTGGTCCTAGACACAGAAGGCTGGAAGTACTAGTGAGGAATGTACTTAATTTTCTGATCTGTTTTTAGGTCAGTCTCTGTTAGTAGCAGTCATCTTAAAAACAAAAGTTCTTTCAGTTAAATTTTGTTTTAAATATCTCTTTTCGGGGTAATTGATCTGGAGCGAGTGTTGAAGCAGAAGAAAGTATAGAAAATGGCTCGGGGTAGGAGGGAAAAGGCTAAGCTCCTTGGCTTCCAGCACTCAAAGCAGGTTGCCTGTAGGTCTGCTTGAGTCTTACGTGCTCATTGCGTAAGCCTCTGAGGTTTGGATTATTTGGGATGAGAGAGCAAGACCAAGAAACTGACTTTTATGCACTACTAAAAGTTGTGTTTGTCTTATCAAACGCAGTCTGTAAACTTAGTCCAGCCTCCACCTGTGGGGCACTTTCACATACATACGCTGTATTTATATGCGTATTTATTAACTGGTATCCTGTGTGGCAAGACATGCACCATAGAAGCTTTATATCAGATATGATAAAGGTAGGTAATGTTTACCAGCTATTTTAAACTTGGTTTAAAGGGTTCGGAAAAACCCTTATGTATAAATAGAAGAATTACTTACCAAGAATGTAGAGCAGAATTGTCACCTTGGATTTTGTGATGCCTGAAGAAACACCAAAACAAAATTTCTTCTTTCCTGGAAAGAACAGTCCAAGAAATACCACCCAAGCTGAAACCTGCGTCATCCCATCTTTACTCAGCCTCCTAAACCAAATACACCTACTTAATTAAGTGCACTTAAAGATAAATGGTTTAACAGCTGTCCAGGGAGCTTTCTCCATTACTAAGGAGCAAAGTGCAAAATTGCTGAGAGCAATGGTGAGTCAGACTTTTTATTTTTTGATGTAACTAATCGTGTGCTAGTTGCACCCTAAATATACTGGTACAGGTCATATATAGATATATATATAGTATTTTCTATTTCACATATATAATACAGGAAATACAGCTGAAGTACTCATCAACTATAAAGCTGTTTTAGCTTCCACAGAACAGTGCTATCTCAATTTCACAGATAAATAACACAGCAGAAGACTATATAATTTACTGAAGGTCAATTACATCCCTGGCAGAAACAGAAAAGGGGCAGAATGCTCCTGTGCATGATCTTCACCTCTTCCTAGACTATGATCCCAAGGAAGGGATTAGTTTTCTCTACTAGAAAAGAACACACCTGGCCCTCCGTTACTGTGTACTGTGTGCCCGGGCTGAAGTACACAGCTTATCTGCTTTGTCTCACAAAATATTGCATAATCTAGCAGCTAAAGAAAATGCTGAAACAGGCTCTTGATGCACTCCGAAACTGAGCAGGTTTTTATTAGGTAATCTAGATCATCGTCTGTATGTGAAGGAGAAAAATCAACTGCTTGCCCAGTGCCTGTCAGGATGCTGTTAATGACAAGAATGACTGCCCAGCAACAGTTTTAATGGCATATCCACGCAGACTTAGCTACTTTTCTTTTGTTATCACATGAATCACCTATAGCCTCAAACTGTCTTAGATTCATTAAGGACCGGTTAAACACTTAACAAATCCTCATTTTGTCTAAAGTACTTTTTAATACTACGATTCACAAGCGGAACAGGAATGCAGGAAAAATGTCATAATCGGTACAGCCACTAGATAGCGTACTGACACCGCACATTCGTTCCCTGTGGTACCTAGCTAACCTGAAGTAGGTATCTAACCCGCCTGATTGCAGGCAACGCTTGCTCCTTCGTCTTCCAACACCACATTGCCAGTAGGATGCCCACGTTTTTATTTACACCTGTCATAAAAATTGCCCATGCCCGCGGACTCGTTACTGGCAATTTTCAATGCTTAGGGAATCCAAATGGACTTGAAGTGATCGTAAACAAACTGGCATTGTAATATTGTGAGTAAAAATAGTTGTGCAACAAGGCGTTCTAATAGAAGCACCAGGCTTGGCCTGACTTTCTTGACCATCTGTGGTTGACCTATGAGAGGGTCCACCAGGTATCTGCAGCGGTCTCAATATTACAGAGCCTTGGGTGGCATGGTCTAGTTTGAGGCATCCTTGCCCATGGCAGGGGGGTTGGAACTAGATGATCTTAAGGTTCTTTCCAACCCAAACCATTATATGAGGAGTCTAGGAGGAGCTGAAGTCGTACAAGTTTTGCATTAGATGTCAGTAAGAGCTCCTGTTGCTGTTCTTACAAGGCATAGGTCCAGTGTGGTCTGCTCAGCCATTTTTGCTTAAGATGAAGCTTATTGGTTTTTTCTTCCTCTCCCCCATTACTGTCTCACTGCCTGTTGTGCCATGAAACAGCTGCATAATGTTCTAAGGTTTTAGTAAAAAATGATAGGGCAAGGATCATTTCATACCCTAGTCTGGATTATCTATTATCAGAAAGTATTTGCGTTCTGGACTTTTCATCTGCACAGATCCACGTCGCGTGAGATCCGTTATAATGGTAGTTATTGACTTACAGATGGGTTCTCTGAAGTTACACTTTTCTTCCTATTCTTTATGCTAAATTCTGAACGGCAGCTTAAGTCTTACGCGCTAAGACACACTGTAATTGTCAGTGCCTTCTTCAGCTGAGCAGCACCTACACGTAGGTAGAGGGCAGTGTAACATACGACTCAAAGCCTGCTGCCCGATAAGACATTCTACAAGGAATCAGTACTGCACTGAACACAGTGTCAACTTCTGCCACTTGATCTGAGTGACTGACAGCACGAGATGTCAAGAAGGCAGATGTCAAGGAAGTCAGGGAATGGGTAGGGAAGCTCTCATAAGAGGCTAATTAAGTGAAAACCAAATTATGGACAGCTGTCAGTTCCTTGAAGAAATGGTAGTGAGAAACTAAGTACAACCTCTGCCATTATAGGGGAAAGTAAGGAAATTCAGCAGAACTCAGCTAATTCATAACCATTTAATTGACCACGAGCATAAGAGAGAAAGAAATCTGTAAAGCAGAGACTAGGTCAGCTGGTTGAGAACCCAGCACAATACTCCATAAACTGGGGGAGGATGGTGCAAGCAGTTAGTAAAGATACAATGCACAAGATGCAACCTGCAAAACTTAACAGAAGTAAAAGAAATTTTACAGCTAAGGTGGCAAGAGGAAAACAAAGGGAAGTTTGGACCACTACCCAAGTATGGGGGGGGGGGAGGTACCAGCAGCAGAGGACATTAAGGAAGCCAAAAAGTTTAATATCCTTTTTTCCCCCTCTCTTTTTCACCAATCTTTACTAAAAATGTCAACATGAAACAATTATTACCAGGAAAAAGGAATAACATTTCAGCCTAAAGTCTGCAAAACCTGCTTAGAAAGTAACCAGTGAAGTTAGATGTTTTCCAGTTGCCAAACTCTGATCCGCTTCACTCTAGAAATCTTAAAAGAGGGTGGAATCATGGCTGCAGATGTCACATAGCTTGAAGTTATTTATTTAATTGTATTTTTTGCAAGGCCTTTAGCAGTATTTCCTATAATATCCTCATGAGCAGGCTAGTGAACTGTGATCTAAATGAAACTGCTGTGGGAAGGGGCAGGAGGTCAAGTCTAGTTGGGTAGTTGTATCCATGGGGTAATTCCTTCATGATCTCTCAAAGTACATGTTTTGCAAGGAATACTGTGGACCTTGGTCCCATATCAAGTTTTAGTTGATGTTCTTTCATTGAAGGCATAGAAGATGGAACATGAAGTATGATTATTAAAGGAAGGACTGAAGATTTTATAGATGGTAAAAGATCAGAATTTAAAATGATATATTTAGAGAAGTCACCTGAAATTGATGGAATGCCATTATGCAAAATACCATGTTTACACAGAAATAGTAACCTGGTTTTGCCTGCCTAGGTACCAGTCACAAGAGAAAAATCCAGGGACTACAGTGGAACAAGCTGAGTACGAATGGCAAAGCCCTCACATTGGGATGTCAAAGGGGTCTTAAAGATGACTGAAAGAGTCCATGTGGGCTGCTCCCCACTGTTAAAGTTTCACCTGGGAGACCATACCCTGTTTAGTGCACCGCACTTAAGAAAGATGTGAAGTAGTTGGCAAGAGGCCAGAGGAAATCAGCAAAAGTGGATAAAGGTCCAGAAAACATAAGGGAAGATTGAAAGAAATGCAGGGATTTTGCTGAAGAGGTAACAACTGAGAAGAAGGAAGGTTAACAGTCTTCAACTAAAAAGCTATTATAAAGAATAAGAAACTAATATGTTCTTGGTGGAAAGATCAGGAAGAACAAAATAGAGAAGCATAAACCAAACCACTTAGGAGATTTAGATTAGACATTGGCCAAAACTTCAATATTAACAATAAGATAGTGTGGCTTGGGGTGACATGATTGTAACTTGATCTTGGGATAGAAAGGTAGAGCTAATGACTTCCCTAGATCCCCTCCTTGAAAGCCTGTCTCTCAGTGACTG